AAAAACATAAAAACCGTTCTTCAATATTTTCCGTATTTTTTGTACGTTATAAAAGATGATGCCTTCTTCATCAAATTTGTCAAACTAACGAGCTTTTTGGCGTTTTATTTCATATTATTCTTTGCTATCTTTCTGGAAGTGCGCACGTAATTCAAGCATGTACCATTTGCTAATCGTTGCTTAACTACAGTAAAACAGAAAAAAAATCAGGTGAAAACGATTCTCTTGAAATTCATGCAGAAATAAAACTGTACAAGAAAACAAGTGTTAATTTTAATAAAAAATCTAACCCAAAGTCCATGCAACATAATATGGCACACGTTGAAAAGCCATTACAATGTACAATATAAATAATCCCTGAATCCAATTTAGGTTCATATATTTCTTATCGATGATAATGTCAGGAGTAAAACAATCACCAAGAAAAACATATAATGACATAAATACTACTGCTTGTAATAATTTACTTAATACTGCATGCCATGGTTTCTCAATCTGCAAATTAAGAAGTTACAGATTGCCTTAAAATATTTCTCGAAATTCTTTGATTGCAGCGGCACACATCTGACCACGTTATATTATTCAGTTGCAGATAAAAGTCATAGCTAAATACAAAGTTAACGAAAGATCTTGTATAGAATATGATACAACTTTTGTCAATGAAATAATATTTCAAGATATTACTCCATCATATCAATTTTCGTCTTCAGCCAAGTTAAATCACTAATGAAGTATAAACGAAGTTTTGTCGTTTATATGCACATTTGCTCAACACATAATATATTCACTGCATTTTTTCCGAATATTTCCAGTCATAAAGTAGCAATTACTGAGTGGTCCTCCTATATCCGGTATCACTACCCTTTGCTTGACTTTAAAGTATAAAATAATTAAAATGAAACAGTAATAACCTTCCCATCTTTACCAACAGCGGCTTTCCCATTAATCCATGTTATATAGTCAGTGTAAAAACAAGCTGGCCCAGTTAATACTGCTTGAAAATGAAACATATAACTTAGAAAGTTCAGTATATCAGGCAGTGATCTGAAACAAATGACGAAATTTCACAATGTCCATATATTTTGCTTAATGTATTTTTCTTCACGGATAACGCAATCATACACCAAATGGGGTCTAACACTGGTCCTCAATGTTTGCTATAGATGACAACAATCTGTTTTAACTTGCTTCGGCGTCCTAATAAACGCTGTGTATTGAGCCTGCTAACCTACATACTAAACAATAACACTAGACAATAAAACAGAAACAAGGTTTTCGAAAAACAACAACAGTGAAAATAAACCGGGAGTAAAATTCGTACTTACGTGAGGGCTTCTTTTTTCTGTATATCATTTAATTCCTCACTTTTCTTCGACCTACCGTCGTGTAAAGCAAAAGCAAGCAATGTGACTTTCTGAACAAGTATCTAAAAACAAGAAAGGATGTATATCCAAATAAAAATGTTTATTATGCAACTTTTTCCTATCAGAAAGCGATAACCTATAAGATTTGTAGTTTGAAAGGAACTAAAACTCATAAAAGAAATACTCAGTTCTTAATAACTTCGAAACTTGTTTATGATGATGATGACAGCAAAAACAAACAAACAGCCAACCATCATTGGGCCGGTAACATCGAGATAGTAAGTGGTCAGTACGTACCAGCGATACCAATGTAGGAAAACGAGGTAACCCATAGCGAACATAAATATACATCTGTGAAGAAAAACATGATAAATTATCTATAAACCAAAAATGTTTCTATTATATCGCAAATTAGGATAACTAGGTCCCGGAGTCTACTTCCATGAATGTCTCCATCGATAAGAGAATATAAAATCATGAAGCATTATACATATTAAAAAACAGATGCTATATATTATATCCATAATGCTCAGATAATCCCTATGTTCGGTTTTTTATTTTTTTTTTTTTTTTGTTTAATTTTAAATATGACGGGTTGAAACCAGTTTCAAAGTCTGTCACGGCATCCAAAGAACATTACTGGTTAAGCTCTTTTTACGATCTCGATCCTCTCACCGAAACCTTTACTATTTTTTGGAAGTTATATGAATCATTTACTCCTTCATGCTCCGATATAAATGCAGACTTACTTTTTCACTTTTCCACTTACGTTTGGCACATCTTGCTACGTTGTACGCAACACATGAAGAGAACATCCTAACAGCAGCATAACAAATGTTTATTCTTACATTAAAAGAATTTTAAATCATTAGTGTACTTTTAGAAAAATTCATCCAATTTGAAATTGAAGGGACTTACTTGTGTACAATTTCGGGTGGAGAGAAACGCATAATTGTATATGACAAGCCAACTAGTAATAACAAATGTTTTACTGCACTGCAAAGACATATAGTTGATTTTAAAATTTTTGAAAATCAGACAACCAATGAGTTTTGATAACCATACTCCCAGGTTGACCTAATTATAGCTATCAAGAAAGCAAACATCAGAAAGTGACATATTTTAGTTGCTAAATTTTATTCGTGGTTTTATCAATTATGTTCATAAAACTTGAATATGTTTCAAGATATTCTCGATATCTTCTGATACCTACAACTGCAGTTCACATCAATTATTCCGAAATAAGAACCTTATAAGCTTAGCTCACTGATGGACATTACTGACATATTCAAGATATTCTATTCTTCTGATACCCTCTAATGCAAGTCTAATTTTTGCTATCCATCACTCATATGACAATAAACATTAAAAAAAACATACTTTCCAAAACAAAAGTAACAAAACAATAAGCCCAAAATAGTAGGACATAGAACACGTGTTGTTTGTGAAATCCGAGTCAAATTAAATAGATGATAGTGGAAATAAGCTAATGGTAACGATATAAGCTGGCATAAAAGCAAGTTGACCTAAATAATAACTATGTGACAGTCACAAGTGGTAAGTGTTGCACGACTTTGCTGCAGTTAGAACGACTTCTGGACTGTTAATTCCCTTTAACTCAAAAATATCATAATACGTCAATCCCACAGTTCGTAAGTGGTATTTAAATATTAAGCTGTAAAGAAATGAACAAATTCCGGAAATATTATTAGCATAAATTACATAATGTGACCAACAAATTCCCGTCTTTTTTCAATTTACATAATCAAAATAATTTATGCACAAAGATATAAGATGAATAAAAACTAGAAATTCAAATAAAATGAACTTACCTTATCAACCTCAAGGCCAATTATATCTGCAATTGGTTGTAAAACATTTGAACCATCGTAGAATGTATGTGCACCTGGCATAATTAATAATTTTCCCACTATTATATTTATAGTAATGTCTGAAAAAGAAAGTGTTCAGTGAGATTGTATGATAATTTCGTATATCTTTAGGCATAATTAACAATAATAATAATAATAATAATATTAATTATGTCGGACAGTTTAATATGGATATGAACATAGTTTTTGCTCCAAACCAACTCGCAATATTTTACCATATATTTGAGAGAACTTAATCTGCTTCCTCGCACTATCAAGACCTAAATCAACAAGTAATAGCATTAAAACAACTTAAACACTTAAGTGTCCAGTTTCCCAAACACCATCTCCCATAAAACGTACCGGGGACAGATCAATAATCACCCCACCACAAGTTACTCCCTAGGGTTTTCATCAGTTAATTAGAGATCACACACTGCTCACCATACTAGTTTGACAATTCTAACTGTGCCACTTTGATGATCCATAATGCAATGGTTAATGTTCATGTTGCTTGGCGCTTTTAGTCAAGCATTTGACTGTTCGATTCTATTAGAAGTTTTAAACAGGAGGAAATCATGATAATAAATGGTAAGAGGAAATACCATCAAAACTGTCATTGGCGCATTTGTACTCTTGATCTTGCATGGGTTCGATCGAACAACCACTCTATCCAATTAAATGGTAAGAGGAAAGGTATACCATCAAAACTATCATTGGCGCATTTGTACTCTTGATCTTTGATGGGTTCAATTGAACGCCTACTGTATCCAGTCCAACAACGCTTCTCTTCTAGCGCACAAGTACACAAGCTTATCATTACTGTCCTTTATAATTTTTTTTTTTTACTTCACTTCTAACGCTGATTGCAACTATCAGTATATGAAGAGAATTGTTAATGATTTCTCTTGTAGTTCAAACATTTTTTTTTCTAATCAAACCCTTATTCCTTTTTATGTATCATCCTATCCGTTGTCGTATTCTTGAAGTAATAGTATATAGGTGGCGGGAAATGTATGATAATGCAATAGTCGTGTAACTACATAAAGTAATTTGTTACGCTTAATTACTCATCCAATAAATGAAAGTTGACTGTCCTTGAAAGTATATACTCATTTCCAAACGTTTTATTAATATACTTATTCCACTTTACATTCATCTACCTCTTATAATTAATATCACCATCAGCTCTCCGAATGTTTTTTTTTTTTTTAAATTAGCATAACTTCATTTCTGTCAGGGAATTTTCTTAATTTATCTTGTCCATTACATGAGTGACCACCCATCATTGTCCACCTCTTATTATGATAGATAACTGCAATTCCTCAATTGATATTTACTTCCTTTAACAACTTGACTTACTTTCAAACTCATAAACTTCATTTACCTTTCCCATAAACATCAGGAAAGCTCAATGAGGACCGCTTACCACAATGTGATGAGTTTAGGTTTTGAGGACTGAATCAGCTTCCTTCCTTCCTTCCTTCCTTCATTTCTTCTTGGTTTAGCCTAAAACGCTTATCACAATTTCCGCGTATGTTATTTTTTTTTCATTCTGATTGCATTTGCAGAAAATTATTATCGAGAATGGCGATGATGGCTTTTTTTTTGATTGTCAAGATGAATTATCAAAACAAAAGCAGTAAATTTATTCATAATGTAGAAAAGAAATTTGCAAATTCTTTGAAATTTCAATTTGGATTGATTTCAAATTTGAAGAGCAAAATTAATTTGTGAACAGAAAGTTTGTTTATTCTTTTTAACGTCAGACTACGGTAGCGATGTATTCGATCAATTGCTGTGCGTTCGCTTGCAAAATTATTAAAATTACTGCAAAGAAAGAGAAAATGTCATATGTTTACGGAAAATAATAATAGTAATGAAAGTTATAGAATTAAAATGAAAAAAAAAAAAGAAAGTGGAACGGTTTGATCATTGGTACCGTCATCGTTATTTCCTATAAATTGAAGATAAACGCCTCGAAATGTGTTTCAGGAACTACCGGAAGTTGCGCTACATAGAGGTTCAGTTTCATTTTAATATGTATTATGTAAACATCTCTGGTGAATCGATTTAATGAATTGATCTGTTTTATTAGATCATTTCCTAGGAAATACTGAAAATTTTGGTATCTTAATTTATAGCCCTAAATAAGCTTTCTTATTTAGGGCTATAAATTAAGATACCAAAATTTCAATTTCTCTGCTTCTGTATTTCCGGAATGAAATTACCTGAACAATGAGAGAGGGTAGGCATCATAATTTTATCATGGTGTATTTTTTGCATGATTTGCACAGAAAATCTTTATTGACTCAAAATTGCCAAGAAATAATTTTTTTTTTTTTTTTTGGCCATCGCTAGCAGTCGGTTTGGAGCCTTTGATGTAGGCATGGGATGGTTTTTTTTTTTTTTTCTTTTTATTATTATTTATAATGACAATGAGGATTTTGGGAACGTCGTGCAATCAATTACCACACCATCCTAGGCCCAATATTTGACTTGAAAACTGGTATGCTATTGGATTCATTTTGATTAACTGTTGCTAGCTTTGATTTTATTAACAAAAATGTTGATTAATTAACTTCCATATCTTAAGCTCTTCATATTTATCATTTGAAAGTCCTAATATTCAAAATTAGATATATAATATTATATAAGTATTGATATAAATCAAAGTTTATCAATTTCATAAGTTGGAATTTAGACTTTAAACTGATTTCATTTCATTTTCTATCAGATGTCTTTCTACTGTTTTTGACTGGTTTGATACTTCACAATGTCAATGTCTCTTATGCTTATGGTGTCTTTGTATCGAATGTATCCTTATGTGGTTGTTCTGATAAATAATATAATTTGGTTGGTTCTCAGGAAATATACACTGAGCTATGGATATAGGCCAGTAATGGTAGTTAGATTGATGGAACTAAACTGAGCCTCTGGAGTAGTAACGGATATCCAAGATTACGGTACCTTTATTGCCAATAATCATCTAGCCACCATTTTCGTTGTTTCTAGAATATTTTTTCTTTGAGATATAATTTAATTTCGAAAACATATAGTTTATATAAGAAATGAAATTAGTGTTAAATTTATTCCAAAATCTTTCCAGGGATATCTAAAGATGCTAATTGTTTAAATGATTTTTAGCTGATTGGATTAAATTAGGGAAAGTTTGACAGATATTTGCTAACTGATTATTAAAAAATATTTTAAGGATTTCAGTGATTAAGAGATATTTTAGTGATCATAATATGTAGTAAATGATCAACATATGCTTGCATGACAATTTCTACGACAGTGATCGGAGAATGGTGTTAAATGTGATGAATGATTGATTAAATTGTTTTAAATTAACTTAAATCCAATCAAAATTGTTTGAAGTAATATTGAAGAGTTTTTCATGATAAGCAAAGGATATGAACTTTTCCAATTCTGTAAAAGTTATACTTAAGGTTTCACCAAAAAAAATTTCCAGTGTAAAAGGTTATCTTGACAAATGTAGCACCTCAATAGATGACTTATTTCGAAATGCTATAAAGCTATAAAAACAGACGGGTACACACACACACACACACACACACACACGCATACACACATACAAATAAACAGAATAAAATCAATGAAATTGATGAACTGTTTGGAAAGTTTGCTAAACGGATAGGTGATAGATTGGTACTACCCAATCAGGCATTTATTTTATGACTTCTTTTTGCGCTGACTCAGTTGACAAACAAAATGCCAACTATTTCTCAAATAGTCATCATTAAAAAAGATTATAACAATAAGTTAGGAATGAATGTTTATAATTAACTGATGATGGCTTTTTCCGCCAACTAATATTATGAAATGTAAGCATTAGTTATACCGTATATCATCTATCTCATCTATATTCTATTATTAGAATCATAATTTATTCCTGTCATATTTTATTAAATATTGTCAATATTAGCCTAAAAGATAAATTATCGATCGAGATGCAAGTAAAGCTGAAAATGATGAATTCATTGATTTGATATCAAAATTGTATGCATATGTGACACTTATGAGATAGTAACATTCAAACTGATAACATTCAATGCATTGTGTTTTTAATTTGAAATACTAATTTATAATTGAATTGTGATTTCGAAGTTGAAACTTGTATGGAATAAAATAATCAGACAGATGAATAAAAAGAAAGAAATATCAGGCGCAAACAAATAGTAAAGGTATCAATAAGATTACTTATAATTGTCTTTTAATTTATTGATTCTTAGATTAGTGATATTTCAAATTTCGATTTTCGTTGAATGTACAAGGTTCAATTTTTCATATAAGTTTTCTAGCAAATGATATAATTATCATTATCTTAGTGCTCTGCGTGCATTAACGCAATAGATATTGTTATCATATCATCACTATCATTATCATCAGAGATTCGATAGATATGTTGGTAGTGACATTGATTGACGATGCAGCAGAATTCATGCAACTTAAGATTAGCATTGTTATGGTCATTTAACTTTGGGATAATTAAGTGTTATAGTTTGAAATGTTAGAAATGCTATAAATGATGCATGTAGTCAAACGTTTTCAATTTTTAAACTTAGGTTGTTAACTATTTTGAATAAAATTATTCATTTCCGATCGGTGATATCAAAGCAAAATTTATGAATGCAGCGAATGGTATTAGTGTTGGGGTATTCTGTGTACGATTTTTAATTTTTAAATTTAAAACCTTTAGGGTTAAGTTTGATAATGGAGTTTTTATAAAGTGATACAATTCGAGCTTCTGTATCACGGATATTTTCTGCTGAAAATTTATTTCCATTTGTAAGAATCTGTTTTGAATTTCGATTATTTAAATACTCTTTTGATAAAATTTGACCAATATGATAAATATGGATGATCAATTAGCGCCAACTTTTAATGTCCACGAAAAGTGAATAATGAATTTATATTATTATCGTCGTTTAATTTTGAATATTTCTGCGTTAAAAGTCACTGTTGATTAGATTAAGCATTGAGTCACATTTAGATTATTCCAAGCGCAATAATATTTAATTAGCGTTTACTTTCATCAGCTAACAATGAAATATGATCTTACAAAGATGGATGAATCAGAACGAATAGCATTATTATTCAATTATATCTTCTTGAATAAACGATTAGGATATCATCAATAGCATCCTTTTTTTTTTTGTCAATCTGAATTTATCACACTAACAAAAATTGCTGCAAATGTTTTTATTTCGATATATCCATAATGATAATCCTAAATCTTAAAGGTTTATTCAAAATGAACAGTGATTATGCATTTTTTGAAACAATAAAATTTTAAATTTATTTAAAAATATTTTATTTTGATTAACAGAGATAATATTTCCTGAAATTGAAAATTATAATTAATAGGATTAAAATGATGATAGGAGGATGGAGCCAAGATGCCGGACATATATTGCTCATCAATAGGAATTAGAATCAGAAGCAAAAGGAATTTGTTACAACAGAAAAAAAAAAAAGGAAAAAATTAACAGCACCAAGAGCAGAAATAGAAAAAGCTAGGAGGGATGATGATTATGTTGATGATGATCGTCTGCTTCCATGTAGGCGCCTTTGGATTCCTCGATTTTCGGCATTTTTTGAACCCAATTCATCTTACATCTTTCTCGTCTTTTTCCTCCCCTCTCCTACCTCTTTTATACAATATCATTTCATATCATGTATTATTACTCTTTCAACATGACAAATTGTAGTAGTAGTAGTAGTAGTAGTAATACAATGTTAATGATGATAATAGTTGATAATATCTCTTCTATTATTCCTCATTTATTTATGTTTATTCTGATAGATAAAAATACCTGAAAACATTTTAGCGCTTTTTAATACATTAGCAATCTATTTCTAATATTTCTTCATATTACCTTTATTCTGAATATTGTTTTGCTAATTAAAAGAAAAAAAAAAAAACAATAAAAAAAGGGAAGTAAATGAATTATCACTTCCACTTTCATAAGATATATCTATCAAAGCTATGGCTATTTCCATATCATATTGTATCACTAATCTATTTCCATTTAAATGTCACCAACAGGTATACTGATAATAATTTTATTAGCTTAAAATATGACATCAAATTTGAATTCTCTCGTAAGTTCTGATAAAAATAGAAAAAAAAAAGTGTATGAAAGTGAAAATAGTGAAGATGGAATGAGAATTTTTGTTGAATGGATGGATGGTTGTCTCACAGTCAAATTATCAGTGTACCAAGTATATGTATATGTGTGTATGTATGTGTATGTATGTATGTGTATGTGTGTTTGTGTATGTGTAACTCATAGATATAGTTGGTATTAGGAGCAACAAGCTGGTTGGTACAATTAGTAAAAGCGCCATTATAAACAAATCCTTGCAAGCAGTAATAAACACCGTAGTTTAGCATTTCTGAAAAAAAAAGAGCTTAATATATGAGAGGCGCAAATGTTCCTTCATCATTCTCGAATATTCTTTAACTATTACTCCACTTTATCCTCCGCTAAATTGCTACTATTTACCTATTTTAATGAATTTTTTTTTTCAAAAATTTACATTTCCTCAAGTAATGAATGAGTATGATATTTAGATAAGGAAGAAATGGCTCCTGCAATACCGAAATTAATAAAATAAGTGAAAAGTATGGGCGGAAAACCTGGAATGTTTATGTGTGTAATCTGACATATTGTACAGAAACCTGATATACCTGTCCTATTAATTCGCAAAATCTCAGAAGTTACTCAGTAATACTAAAAAGCATCGCATCGAATAATCGAAAATTTTTTACTCCTTTCAATTATTTTATGCTCTCTTCCTCATTTGAAATATGTTAATTTACAATGATTAATTAATCATTGTTTGATGATAACCTGTTAGTTTATTCCGAATTCCAAAAGTTAATAATATTGTTAGCAATTTAGTTGTTAAAAATGTCACAGGTCACATCTATGAAATTTGAATATTTCAGTTTAAAGAAATTTTATGAACACGCATTATTCGACTTCGAAACTTTAACATATTCCGGAAAATTTTCGGAAAAGCTGGCGGAAAAGTTTGGAGTAAACTTTGAAAACACTTCATTTACATACTTCACGTACGCAAAGGTCAATTATGTATCCATTTCTTTAGTTGCATTGTATAGCACTGAAAAGTGCTTTATAAAAAGAAAGATACATGATGATTTGCAGATTATCCATAAGTAATTCTTATTTCTCAAAGTTTTTTGATTAATTTAACCATTAAAAGAATCGCTAACTAATAAAAATTAATAAAATAATCTAATTAAAAATACTTAATTAATTGCAAGTAACAAATAAAATTTGTCAGTTAAAAATTAATTGCAGACTTGGGATAGATTAGACAAGAAAAATAGTCATCGTGATGATAACACCAACAGTGCTATTTCAACAACAAAAAGAACATACCATTGAAGGCAAATATGGTTGGTATTTAAATTTCATTTTCTAAATTTTAGGTATTTTTAAAATATCAATTTAGGATGACTTAAAATTCCTTTGAGTTCATCCTAACAATTTCTGAGAATATTTGTGTCGCAAGATAGTAAGTTATGTATGACGAAATAGAGAGAATGAATAATGGAATTATATGAGACAAAGTAATTGTTGGATTTCAAAAGTCATATTTTGATCATATGGTAATATTCACAGATTCTATCTTATCATCTCATTAATTCATCCAATTACTTTTCGAATGGTAGCAGAATTTGGTGACAAATAGCAAAAGTTGTATGTTGTTATTGTTATTGTCATTAACTAAAACAGGTGAAGGAAAAGTGAACTGATTAATAAATGATCAACTCTGTTGGGGGTTTCCTTCCATTTTCTTCTCAAACAAAGAACACTATTGCTCTTCGTTACATCTCTCAGTAAAAATAAAATAAAATAAAAAAATTCGAAACTATAACTTGCTTCTCATACCTTTTCCATCTAACCCATTCCTGATGAGAGCTATCTCTCATCCATCCTTCGTTGTCGTTCAAAGAAGTGTCATCCTCTTGTCATTTCAACTCTTAATTTATCATTTTTGTCACTTTGTTCTACATTAAATTTTCCTCCTTTTTTTTTCTTTTGATTCTCTTCTCCCCTTCCACTTTTCAGTCCTTTTCACAAATTTGCTAGCTACTAACAAATTAATTATCTTAAAATTTGTAACATTGCCAAGAGATTGCATTTTGATTTGCCAAAAGATTGCTTGGGAAAAGCAATGATAATCAAATTTTAATAAAATAATAAATTTAACAATGTTCTTTTTCGGTTAAATTTTTTAAATCAGTTCATGATAATATATGCAATTATCATTTTAAAAGTAATACTTAATATTGCTTTTTTTCCACATTTAAATTGGATTAATAAAGTAATCACATTTCTTTATATGTTCATTAGCATGTAAATTCAATAATTCTCGTATAAATATTTCATAAACCTTGTATATTATTATAATTAGGAAAAGAATAATAGTACGAGTATAAGGATTAAAGTTAACTAAAGTTGACGAATTGCCTTTTTTGGTTGCATTATGTGCGAAATTACCTTTAATTATTAATAATAATTGTAACAATATGATAATTATTATGAATTGTTTGCGCATTAATTTATAAGAGATTAAATATTCCCGCTATTGAATATATTATAAGCCTTTTGTTTAAAATAATTTAATTGCTAATTTCATTTTATGATAACATTCCATTTCGAACCATTCTTTGATCTTTTTATCTCATAAATAAATCTAAATAACTTATAAATTTTCATTTAAAAAAAATAACTATTCGTGGATAATTTTACAAAATATAACCCGAACTTTTATGGTGCAATATTCAAATTTTCCAATATCATGAGGACACTGACTGAACAAGTAGTTCGGATGCTGTATATTGTCAAAGAACCTCGTTTGCATTCATAAATCATGCAGATCGTCTGGTCGCATATGATGATGGAATTATGTATATTGTGATACTGTGAGGTTGTAAATTGAGTAAATGTAAGCATGCATGCCGATAACATACAATACTTTGTGAATTCTTCAAAAGGAGCCGAATTCAATTATCTAATCCTTCGGAAACTAATCTAACCTTTTTTTTTTTGAAGAAAATTTTGAATTAATGAAATAAGGAAGTCCAACTATTTTGTGATTGTTGAAATGGAAAATGGATAACATTTAATTTGAATGGGAAAAGTTCATAATTAACCCTTTGAAAATATACCTGAAAGCATGGAAGTTTTTTAAGGGATTGAATTATCAGAATCAGTCATCTGTCTAAATTAATCAATGTTTAAATTGATTAAATTTGAATTAACTAATCGGTTATCTATTTAAACTATTTAAATTTAGTTGTAACTAGCACTTCTATTATTGGAATGTGACAAGCAAAGGAATCACCTGCTTTAGCCATTTGACCCGAATTATGTCATTATATAATTCTAGAGGTCATATAATTTCATTCCGTTTTTATAAGATTGAGAGAAAATAATATGGGAATGGTTCAGAGGTGAACATTTGAATCATCTCTTCATTGCTGGTTTTCTTTTTCACTTCAATTATTTTTAGGATACTTTAAGATTATCACAAAAAAATTTTAATTGTAAATTTTAAAAGTTATTAGAAAAATTGTTACAATTCATCTTATCTGGGATATCATATGAGTTTAGCATTCAAATATTTAACTTAAATTAGTAATATTTGAGTAATTCTGTTCCAGTAATTGATAATTTGAGATAAGGAAAAAGTTGACAAGTTGGGATGAGAAATTTTCAACGCAAATAATATTCGAAAATATTTATTTTCGTTAATCATTGATTTTTGATACCATTGATATCATAATCATTGATCATTGATTCAATTATTGATAATAGCTTGAGATGAGGAATTTCCGACACAAATGATATTTATTTCCGTTAAGTATCATCAAATCATCATTTCTTTTCTTGATTGTATACTTTTGGAACTAATAACCAACTGTGAATAAGTGGAACTACTTCAGTATGAAATGATGAAACAATCTTTCCTTTTTGAGTATCTGGCGTATACTGAATGATCTTTTTAAAGAAATCACCGCAGAATGTTGTATTGGAGAATTTTAAGTTATATTAAGCAAAAAAAAAATTTACATATTTAAATTTCATTTTTGCATGCTATTTACATAAATAAAAGATTTATTATTTTTATAAATCCCTTAATATCTCTCATATAGCTAATCATTGTAGTTAGAAGCATAAAATCTGAGAAGTGAAAAAAGAATGCCGGTAAGATTCAAATATAATTACCAACAAGTACTCACCTGTTGTTGTTGTTGTTGCTGCTGCTGCTGCTGCTGCTGCTGTTACTGAAGTACTCCAGATATCGTAAATTTACTTCAAAATGAATACTTCATCTGACACTGACTAGTGTTGATTGACGATCTCTTCAGTTGTTAAGAGATGATGATGATGATGATGATGATGATGATGACGATGATTACGGTAGAATGAATTGAGAATGGGGTGGAGAAGTTTCAATGGTTATGATTATATTTGTTGGAATTTTTCTACAATTAGATGAGTGATGATTCGTTCAAATTCTTTCCTATAAATGGTTTCTTCTTTCTTTAAAATTTATCTTTTATAAGTTTTTTCTTTCCTCCTTTTTCCAATGTTTTTTTTTTTTGCTTTTTTATGATAGATCATTGAAATGTAAACTATAAACCGGAAATGAATGTTTAAAATTTTAATCATCTCAGTTAACTTTTCCTTTTAAAGTAAACTAGCTGAATCAATAGGTAATTGTCATCAAATCATAATTTCTTTGTAATTTAATTATATAAATTTAAATTAAAAGCGTTAATTCATTTTTGAATTTCATATATATTATTTTGTATTAAATCTATATGTGAATATTTGGAAGTATTATATTCTCAAAATTTCTTTTTTAACCTTCTTTCTTCAAACTTAATCATTCATTTCTTGGATATCTCTTCTTCTCAGTTTCTATTTATCATCCATTTCTATTCTAACATTTCTATCTTCACATATTTATGTGTGATATTTCCGCATGACAAAATCAATCATAAAAAAAAAAAGTTTATTTACATATAGTCCAGAAGCCATCAAAATTTTCACCGATTTGTTTGTTATGTATTAGAGTGCATATTTGTGTATGTGTATGTGTGTGTGTGTGTGTGTGTGTTGTGTGTGTGTGTATGTGTGTATGTGTATGTGTGTGTGTGTATGAAAATGATTACATTGTTTGCTTGTAACTGTATCACTAAGTGATAAATTTGATATAACCTTATCATCATCTTTCACTTATCATCAGAATAAGGATGTCAGTACTTCCTTATTATCCTATTTACAATTAACTATTGCATTATAATGACAGTAATTAGTTATAATTATCATAATCGTTGTCATAAAATTTGTTGTAACCACAAAGTGATGATAGGAACAGTTGAATAGTGTTAAAATAGTATGAGATAGGTTTGCAGAAGTTTTGGATAAGTTAGAATAAGATCAGTACTGTTCCAAATCGAGTAATTATTAATCTTAAAGTATGAATAAGTGATAAACTAATTAGCAAAATGCTTTTAATGCTGACAAAATTGGCTTTTGTTATCACTTCTTCAGGAGTAAAACAAAGATAATGAAAGAAAAATATTAAGCCAAAGATTATCATCATAATTATTATTAGCAAAATAACGCATCACATCATTTATTCATTAAATGAAGTAAAATTTAATGAGAAAATTGATTATTGATCAAAAGAATTGACTTTTTAGATTCTTAAATTAAAAAAAAAGACTCAGGATGTCTTATCCTTAACAGCTTATCAGATCAGAATATTTTCCATAAAGTCTTAATGCTTGAATTTCCTTAATTCTTGCTGACAACAAAATTTGAAATTGATAAAAGAAAGCAAAAAAAAAAAATAAGCGTTCTTTGCTGTTACTGATAAGAGGCGTGGCGGTTTTTACTTACAAAAGCATAGCCATCTGATGGTACCTATCATTTCTTAAACAAACATTTCAACTGTTTGAGAATAAAAATCCTTCATCGAATAATTCCTTGCTACTTTCTTTCATTTTATCTTTACCTCATTGTTTGACCTTTTTATCATTGCTATTTAATTTGGAGACATGAGAAAAGTTTTTTTTTCTTCCAAAATTTTATGATAAAATTTTTTGAAGTTCAAAGTTTAAATCTAACCGAAATTTAGAATTTTATTAATTCATACAAAAAAGAAACATGTAAATTTTAAAGGATACTTTACGTGAATTCCATTTTTGCAAAATTTCTTGCTAATATAACACTTTGTTTTGTTTCTGACCAATTGAAAGGCAGCAAATTGTTTACTTTTAATTATAATTCTTAATTAAGTTTCGTTATCATAAATTGGGAAAAACTGTCCTAATAAAGGTAAATATTGAAGTATTGAAAAATTT